TTTAGAATTGTATTACTTAATTTCCAAATATTTGGGACTTTCCCAAATATCTATGTTATTCATTTCTAGTTTAATTCCTTTATGGTCTAAGAACATGCTTTTTTAATTTAAATTTTAAACAAAATTGCTGAGGTTTGCTTTATGGCCCAGAATGTAGTCACTACTTGTAAATTTTCCGTGTACAAAAAAGAAAGTATTTTCTATTGATGTTGGCAAGAATGTTCTATAAATGTCCATTAACCTAAGGTAGTTGATAATGCTTTTTAGGTCTTCTGTATCCTGTATTCAGGATGATAGTGACATTAGGTAGAGGGAGTGGGGACTTAAATTGGAGCCTAAAAGACAAGGAATTCCCTTTGACTTTGGGCTCTAAATTTTCTAAAAGGCCCAAAAAGGAGGCTGCCATGGGTGAGGGGTGGTGGGCTAGTGGGAAAATAGAGGTAGGAGAAGTTAGAGAGGTGGTCAGGGCCAGCTCATGTCCAACTTGTAGGCCAGGATAAGGAGTTTGGATTTTATTCTGAATGATGAAAAGCCACTGAAGGGCTTCAAATGAGAGAGTAATAAGATCTGCTCTACATTTAAAAAAAATCACTGTGCCTGCTATGGAAGGGCACTATAGAAGGTCAAGAGAAGACTCAGGTTACCCACGGAGGGGGCTGTTGCAATAGCACAGGTGTGAAATCATAGATAGCATTGGAGACAGACAGGTGTCGTAAAGTTCAGGGTATAACTTGGAGTTAAATCATGACATAAAGAGTAAAATCATTGACATTATCATGATCCACCATCACCACCCCCTCTAACAAGTATGAGTGCTATTTAGGTACCATGCACAGGACTTCACATGTATACTGTATTTTAACCCCATTTTACAGAGAGGGAATTGGGACTGAAAGAAAATGAACTTGTTTAACCAGAACATATTTGTTGATCTTCAGATTAGTTGTAAGGCAGACCTTTGATTTTTAAGGAGTTTAGAAAAAAAATTTAATTACTGTTAAATAAATAAGGCACAAAAAATAATGGAAAATGATTTGCCATCAAGACGCCAGGAAAATTAATGTAGTTGGTAATGTAGTTGCAGTTGTTAAGATTAAAGTATTTTTATTATAACTTGCAACCTGATGATCCATGGGTTACTAGAGGTATATGAAAACTCATAGACACTTTGTCACAAAGAATCCTGCTTGGTGGTTCTTGAAATGTTGGAGGAGTGGGGGCAGGAAGGAGAACTACTGAATAGTTTTTCTCTTTCCTAGTATTTCCTTCCAAGTAGAAGGAGTTAAATTAGCGTAACTTCTTATTTCTCTGCCCATTTACTCATTCCAAGCAAGGTGAGGAGGAGTGACATCTGTGGTAAATTCAGGAAAAATAATCTAGGCATGTTCACCTCTTCCTTCTTTACCTTTTGGGGACCCAGCTTGCCTACTGAGCACACATTTCTCCTTTTCTTCTCGGGCAGGCTTCTCTTCCCTACTGAGAGTCCAGTGCTGCCAGGATAGTCTGCCATGTCTGTCTTCTGCAGAAAGTTACAATTACAATTCAGTTACAATTCATTTTGCTCCTGCACTAAACTTTGCCCTCCATCATGGTCTTTCATGGTAGTAAAGGTGGTATTTGGGTCTCCACTTACCTTATTTATTTAATTTTTAAAAATACATATATTTTTATTTTTCAGTTACAGTTGACACACAATATTATATTAGTTTCAGGTATACAATATAGTGATTAGACATTTATATAACTTACGAAAGGATCACCCTGATATATCTAGTACCCATCTGACACCATACATAGTTATTACAATATTATTGACTATATTCCTTATGCCAGCGGTTCTCAACCTGTGGTCATGACCCCTTCGGGGATCGAACGACCCTTTCACAGGTGTCGCCGGGTACTCGTATATGGGCGTATCTGCATGTGGGCCTGGAGACGGATAGAGGAGCGGTGTCTCGGTTCCTAAGACCATCGAAAATATGTGTTTTCCGATGGTCTTAGGCGACCCCTGTGAAAGTTTGAGAAC